GGCACTCGTTCCAGTAGCATTGTCGCTCGTGATCACACATTTTCTCAAACTTGTGTTATATTGTGATCCGTGTACATGAATCCTCCAGGCCTATAAGATGAGATCCCAAATGAATTTAAGTTTATCAAGATCCAGTTACTGCCTCCCAACACCACTCCGTTACTCCAGTTAATGGACCAGCAAGTTATTTCTAACTTTCTAAAGCACTCTTTGATCATTGTTTTCAGGTGACTAAAGGGACCAACCTCACTCTCTAAGAGTTTTTGAAAAATCACTTCTACATCGTTGCCTGCCTGAAGATGACCGACAAGTCGGGGAAAGGCGTTACCAAGAGAACCCTAACTTCTTCTTGGAGGAAGCTTTGGCCAGAGACTGTTGTCGATTTGTGACTTTGAAGGGTTCGAGACTGTACCTGTGGAACCTGTAGTCAACGAGATTGTGTTTTTGGCCACTATCATGGGATTGTAGGTGAATAACAGTGATATCGAAGAGCTTGTGGAAGAACACAGCCAAGAGCTGGCCACTCAAGAGCTTATGGAGTTGCATTGTGTTTTACAGCGAGAAGTTTTGGAGGAAAGTTTGTCAGAGGAGGAGCAGGAGGTAACAAAAAAGCAACAATCTTTTGGCGAAAAAAGAGAAATGCTGAAAGCATTGTAAACTGTTGCTTCTCACATTGAGAAGCATCACCCTAATAAGGAAGTGGCTATGCGCGCTGTAAATTTAATGATAATGCTGTGTCGCATTTTTGCCAAATTTTGAAGCGTCGACAAAAACAAATGTCTCTAGACATCTTTCTAGTAAAAATTATTTTTAGCTTTGTATCATTATTTCGACTTTTTTTTTCTGCAAATCGAATTTGCATTCCAGGTGGGTTCGTTCTGCATTTGAAGAAAAGATTAATATGATTCACTCTCCTTAAATATGAATATAATTTTCTTTGAATAAATGTTATAGTATAACTTACACATAGCATTTTGCGGTTAATTTTTTTTCCGACATGAAACGCTTTATCGTATTTTACATTAATTTATATGAGAAAATTTGTTTCACATAACGAGTGTTTCGCTTAACGAGTATGATTCTGGAACGGATTATGCTCGTTAAGCGAGGTTCCACTGTATAGTCATACCAAGACAGTGCTACCAGTGCCAGACATTATCAAAGACTAACATACTTAAAGTTAACACTTGTGAAATAAGATGCCTGAAAAAAACTGCCAACCATCCAAAACAAAGAAATGGTATAATCATACTGTAGGAACAACGACATGCAGCACATTCATTGAGAAACAGAAGATTGAATGATCTGGTCATCTAGTAAGAATGCAGCCAAAACAACTACCGACACAGGCACTACACATAAAAAAGATCTAAAGTGAAAACAAGAGGTCACCCTAGGAGAAGATGGACTGATGACATTAAAGAGCTTCTACATGGACACGAAATGACTATAGCCACTGCTGCCCATCAATCAATGAATCACAAACTGTTCCTCCCCTTGATGCTTAGCAGCAGAAGTGGAAATTGATGATGATGATGATGATGATGAAAGTTGTTATTAAAACAAGTAATAGACCCTTTTGCCCGCCTTCAGGCATACTGGGTTTATAGTGCTTGACTCAAACTTTGTAGCCCAATCAGCCCTCCGTGGGTCATATGGCTAACACCACACGAGTCACCTTTACTTCCCAGAACTGTAACTAGTACTCGTTTAGGGCTGAGTCACCTGGGAGTCGAGGTCAGTTTTGAAAAAAAAAATTCAGCACCGTCAGGATCTGAACCCATGACCTTTCGATCCACAGGTGAGCATCTAGCCACAACACCACGATGACTCCCGCAACAAAGTTTACAGTACAACACCTCATTTCATGACAAGTGCACTATTAACTGGAACTATCATGACACTATTTTGAACTGGTAAAGGAAAAAGTTCCAGCTAGAAACAGCATACTTGGTGTCATGATAACATTTGAAATGAAAATTGGTAATGTGCAAGAATGTGTGAACGAAGAATTAGGAGTGGATTCGGCACAGAGACTTCTGAGAGGAAGTTTGAGGTTTGAACACTGGATCAACATCATGGCACACGGGTAGTAACCCACAATTGCTCTGTTCTTCTTCTAACTTCAGAGTCCGAAGAAGCTCAGCACAGTGCACATGCTCTGTAGCACCGGCGAGGATCCTGAAATACTTCTGGTAAATTTTCAACTCCAAATGTTTCATGGTCAGCGCCATTAGGCTACTCTTTTTGATTTCAAACTGCCAAGGGATTTTTTTACGTGTGCAACATTGCACACAGGTGTCCAATCTGACTACCCAGAGACCGGGGGGAATTACTAGAGGCTCAAGTCCACATGATCTAGCCCTTACCGGGGATTGAGCCTGAAACCTCTCGCACTCGAGGCAGACACCATGCTTCGAGACCACGCAGCCCTCTGAGTGGAAGAGAACTAGGTGTGTATAATCAATCAGTATGCAATGGGAACAGTTAGCATCTACACATTTGCGAGGGATACCGTGCCCTTGTGGGTATGCCGGGTGTGCTATGATGTAGATTCTCAAATCAGTAATCAGTAATGATGTATTCAATTATTTTCCTAACTGCCAAAAATAATTTCATAATATCAGGTTGATTTGTAGTCTTCTTCTTCTTGTGTTGCTTTCTGATTTACATTGGCAGACAAGGTCTTGTGATAAACTTGTCTGTTTTTAGGAGTTCCCTTTTAATTCCATACAATTTTAAGTAAAATGTTAACTCAGTGGACCAGTATTTCCTTCTTAACGAGCTGTGCAAGGGACACACATGCAGGGCATGTTCTGAAGTCTGCACACACAGCCCACATGGTGAACTACTTAGATGAAGCCTGTGCATATACTTGTGAAGTTTGTTATGTGATTGGTAGTCCACATAATGACCCTTCTTCATCTCAGCACGTACTGAACATATGATGCTAGACTTATGTTTATTTAGACCAAACAGCATTTGACAGATGATGTGATCAACATCATGTTGGCCGCCTTTACTTCTTATGACTTTACCTGGTATCCACTTTGTGTCTGGTCGAATTGGAAACCAAGGTCATGTTTGAAATAATTTTATTGATCCAGATTCGAATCCAAAACCATGCCCACAGTCTAGCTGTTACACCACTGAGGCTCCTGTAGTCTGCATAATAACCTTCAATACATTTAGCCAAAAGGATGACTACTTACAGCTGGAAAGCCAGTGTGCTAGAAAGCTTGAAAACAGACCAGATCCTTCCCCTTTTTAAAAAAACTATTCTCAAACACTCTTTCCCTTTCTATTGCCCCACTCATAATCTCCTTATTACCTCACACCATTTCTCTTAATTTCTTCACTCCTATTCTCTTTTCTCTCTCTCACTAACCCCTCCCCCACAAAACTGTTTCTCATAAAAACAATGACGTATTATCATTCATCAAGAATTTATTAAGTGAAAACAAAGTAACAAAGTTAAAAATAACAGTGAGCACCAATATAACTGTACAGAGTATAAATTCACATCCTGTGAACTCGTTATAACAATCAATCAATCAGTAAACATGTTAAAATACAAAACTGGCATGATACGACTGTAGGAACATGTGTGTTTCAGATTCATGTCTGGAAAGCATGGATGGCTGGGATGAAATTCACATGACCTATCCAGTCCACATGACCCAGCTGTCCGCATGACCCACCTGGTCCACATGACCCACCTGGTCCACGTCAACCACCCATCATTATATCAACCAGAACAGAATGGGAGTTGTTGGCCCAAAAACACTTGCAGACACACTCAGGGGGAGCTCGAAGCACTTATGGTCATGTCAGATGTGCGATGAAGATGATGTTGAAATGAACAATGATTGTGATAATGTAAAAGTGGCTGGCTCTATTTTTTATCTGGTTTGATTATCTTTTCATGATATACAAAATGGGACTGGTACAACAACTCAATATGCTTAGAGGCAATGTTTTTTGTTTTTTTTAAATACGAAACAAACAGGTGTCAGTTCATATTACAGAGTGTCTAAAAAGGTTCTGTACTCGCCACAAAGTGTGCACAAAAATGATACCTAAAATAGTACTGTTACGGACGGAACAAGATGGAAAGATAACATGAGAGAAACTCTACAACAGCACGATGTGTTTATCATCAGGGCGGCCAGAAGAGCAAGAAGCCGAACCTTATATCTCTCTTGACACCTGAAGCGGTGAAAGAGAAAGTGAAGAAGAATAAATCTTTGATCTGATGTTACCAGGGTACCCCCAGTACTTTAAAGTATTAACATGCACAATGAGCAGACAATAACACCACCTAGTGCGTAATATAAAGACTCCTTTTTATGTCAGTGGCACATCAGGCAGGTGATAAAAGACCCATAGTTTTCCAGACCAAAAGGCACTCAATGGGTGATGTAGTGAACACCACACCAAACAACTTTACTTCCCAGAACATTTCCTAGTATGCATTTTTAGCCATGAGCCGTAAGTAAATTTGAAAAATCTGCCTTAATTGCATTTATACCCAAACCTTCGGGGCTGCTAACTATACTCTGGCCACCTGCAAAATTAAAAAGAACTATAAACATGCAGTGAGTTGCTCAGTCGTGAATGAGTTAATGACTAGGTCTACATTGTCTTAAACTCTTATACAAAACACTTTATAGTTCTCTTTGTTTACGTGCACACAGGGTGTCCCATAAGTTCAACACATAGGAAAAATAAACACATCACCAATGCTATGAAAGTAAGTTTTTTACAAATAGAAAACTGGCGTTGCTGTGTGTGGCACAAACCCCAAATGTCAGTTTTGTGGCTTCTTCTCAGGGTGAAAAAATTAGCTCATTCAACCTCAGTTAGTTATGTTAGTATAAGTTGCATTGTTTTGCAAACACTACCTGAAACCGATAAAAAGAAAAAAAAATTACATTGCTGCATGTATTTACCACTTATAAGGGTCTATGATCTGTCCGCACTTTCTGCCCATCAGTCCCTCACTTCAAATCACTGCTGGGCTCACTGACTGCCATCCCGTGGCTCTCCATGTACTCATCAACTACTAGGTCCTCCGAGCCACTGGTGTCAATCAAACGCACAACCAAAGTTGCGGGAATGCACCGGCCACTACTGGAGCTGTCTTCGCCCGTCACCAAGGCATACAAAGTCTTGTTGCCCACAGTTGTCTTGAACCAGTGGACCACATCAGCAGGCCAGTCTTGTCCTTGGGGCTGAATACCTGGGGACAGAACAAAATAATGTTAAGGTAGTTTCTATGTTAGGTCATACACAGATCATTATCTTCAACATGTTAACTGCTGAGTTAAACACAGATCATTATCTTCAACATGTTAACTACCTAGTCATACACAGATAAATCATTATCTTCACGCTTAAGTACCAACATGAACTCTATACTTTAACCTTTCTGTCTCAAGCAACATGCCATCAGTGACTAGACATGTTTCATTTTTCTTAATCTTCTTCTGCATTTGATCTTGACAGGACCAGGGAAGCTGTGACAGGACCAGGGAAGCTGTGACAGGACCAGGGAAGCTGTGACAGGACCAGGGAAGCTGTGACAGGACCAGGGAAGCTGTGACAGGACCAGGGAAGCTGTGACAGGACCAGGGAAGCTGTGACAGGACCAGGGAAGCTGTGACAGGACCAGGGAAGCTGTGACAGGACCAGGGAAGCTGTGACAGGACCAGGGAAGCTGTGACAGGACCAGGGAAGCTGTGACAGGACCAGGGAAGCTGGCTGACTCCCCACTCAGAGTCAAGGCAAGCCGGACATACATTCAGACTGCTACTGGTACCGCCAGATTTTAAACTTTTCGCTGGCTGCTGAAGATGGGGACATGGCTATTATGAGAATGTCCAGCATGTTGCAACATCAGTTCTTGAAACTCAGCTCAATTCAACTGATCTTAAAGGTTGAGAAATTGATCTCTTGACAAATTCTGTAGTGGTTTACAGCTATTAAATGGTATCTGCACATGTCAGCCCATGACATCCCATTTCAGAAAACCTTTAATTAGCTAACCTCTACGGAGGCTGCGTGGTCCCAAGGCATGGCGTCCGCCTCGAGTGCTGGAGGTCCCGGGTTCAGGCCCCGGTGAAGGCTTGGATTTTTGTTACATGAACTTCTAGTAATTTCCCCTGGTCTCTGCGTAGTAAGATCAGACGCCCGTGTGTATTGTTGTGCACGTTAAAAAATCCCTTAGCAGTTGGAAATCGAAAGGAGTAGCCTAACGGCGCTGCCGGGGCAAACAAATTTGGTGTTAAAAAATCTACCTAAAGTATTTCAGGATCCTGGCTGGTGCTATGGAGTTCATGCACGGCGCTGAGATTTTTCGGACTCAGGCTTGAGTTAGAAGTAGAACAGAGCACTTATGGGTTACCCCTTGCATCATGATGTTAATCCGTCATCTAAACCTAAACCTTTAATTATATATTTTTTAATGACATGTTTGTGAAGTGGTAAAAGTCAAAAAAATCTACAACTGATGAAAACGGGAGTGACAACAACTGAGCCGGCATCAAGAAATGAATTCTCTGAACATAAACTAGGCCTAGGAAGTTCAACAGGAATAGGGTCAGGGCAGCTAGACGATTCTTTTATCCACTACTTCTTTTTCTTTGCATTTACCAGCTGTAAACTCTGGAGGAAAGTTTAGGTTGTTCATCCACTTCTGAACTTTAGTCTTGTTCCAGAACTTAAGTTTTACATTTGTAAATTATCCTTATAAAACAATGAGTGCCCTAATTTCAGAGAGAGAAATATACAGTGGAATGGCCAAATTTTAGTATGTCGTAGCCAGATGTAAATAAACATATGTGATGGTAAAGAACTTAAAAGAACCCCCAAAAAGTTGCATTAACTCTCTCACCCCAGAAATGCTAAAAGAAAACTGGATCTCATGATAACATGAACATTCCTGACAAATCCTTTAAAAACAAAAGTTTACACAGGTCACTAATAAACTTTTTAAAAATATATCTACATTTAACAATTGTTTCTCTAAAATAGATAAAGATATATAAAGAGAATAATTAAGTTTTACATTTGTAAATTATCCTTATAAAACAATGAGTGCCCTAATTTCAGAGAGAGAAATATACAGTGGAATGGCCAAATTTTAGTATGTCGTAGCCAGATGTAAATAAACATATGTGATGGTAAAGAACTTAAAAGAACCCCCAAAAAGTTGCATTAACTCTCTCACCCCAGAAATGCTAAAAGAAAACTGGATCTCATGATAACATGAACATTCCTGACAAATCCTTTAAAAACAAAAGTTTACACAGGTCACTAATAAACTTTTTAAAAATATATCTACATTTAACAATTGTTTCTCTAAAATAGATAAAGATATATAAAGAGAATAATCAATAAAAATAGTGAAGCATTAAATGAAATATATAGAAGTAAAAACTGTATACACAAGGGAGATGAATGGTCCTAGACCATGAGGGAGACCAAGAAGACGATGGAGAGAGAATATCCAGACAGACCTGCAAACACTTGGTGTTACCAACTGGAAAGAGAAGGTCAACCAGAGAGATTAATGGAGGCTGGTGATATCTGCAGCAATGAACCTCAAGGGCTCCAAATGCTGAAGAAGTATCCTCAGGATCTGAAAAAAAACCACATGTACTGGGTGTCTCATGCCATGACACCTCAACCTCTATCCCTGAGGCTAAAGATAATTTGGCTTTAAAAACCTTCTGGTTCACAAGGGGCCCTCAAACCCCTAATGCTATTTTTAGTAATTATATTCATTTCCTGACCTCCCTCCCAGACACTGCACAGGCTCAAACTCAACCAATACCATTAGCTGTTAGTTAGCTAGTTATTTAGTTAGTTGACAGATTATCATCAACGCACATCGAACCATCCAGTCCATAAGTGCTCAGATCCTCTCTTCAGTAGCTCCCTCAGTGTGTAGTGACTTATAAGACCAGTTCTGTGATGGTTTACTATTCTTCATTGGGCCCCTGTGTAGCCTTCTTTACACCAGAATGCGCCGGGACAAATATAAGACTGACTTTGGTCAGCCTAGATCTATTCAGGGACTCCACCCATTGTCTTGGCATGCAACACTTCTTGATCTTCTTGAGCATATTCACTGAGTCAGTGAGAAAGCATGCCCAGGTGAAAGTCTGTGTTTCTAGCCAGGCTACTGCTTTAGTTGCTGCCATGATCTCCATAGTTAAACTGCTCGTTGTCAAGGTGAAGGCAACACAGTTTTCTTTGACAGTTCTCCCTCCAACCTGAGCCGTAAATGCCCACAAGCTCCAAACATCTGGAATGACACACTCGTCTGTGTAGACCATCATATTGCCCTCAGAAGAATTTTTTATATATCAAGATCTGCACTTCTGCTTCCACAACAACTGGGTTTTGTTGTCTACATTCTTTTAGTTCAGCTTGATGAATAATTCAAAGGACGTATAATACTCTGGTGGTACACGTACCCATCTTCTATGTCCTCAAGTGGACAAACATCTTGTACAATATCCTCGGCCTGACCGTTCCATGATTTTCCTCTCTTTAATCTGCTGCCTTATCCTGATTTCACTGTGCAGTGGGTGTTGTGTGTCAGCACTGACTCGGAGGTGTGCACCTCATTAACATGTCACTCTAAACAAGCGGAAGCGGAAAACTGACATTTATGGGTAACAACTCGACCAAAAGTGGTTTTGCTGCTTTTCAGAACAATAAAGTGAAGCCAATACTGTGTCAAATATCTTACCTCCCAGACGCATCCTTCGAGCCAAGAACGGCAATGAATAAAACTGCTGTGGAAGTTGCAGAAGCTGAGAGGGCGGCACCATGTCATAGCAATGGTGGTCAGGGAAAAATACTTTCACCTGAGAAGAAAACAAGTCTACGTATAAAGGACAGGCCATATGGGGGAAATAGTGACTCTTCTACATATGGGCGGGCAGTTACTTCATGAGAATAGTGATCTGTGTGTAATGTTAACATATTGAAGATAATAGCATGTGTATGATCAGGAGGTTAAAATGTCGAAGTTTACGACCTGCACATGACTGAGTAGACAACGTGTTAAAGATAATGAGCTATGTGTGAATAAATAGAGAAAAAAAATGAGCTATGTGAATGGGTAGAGAAAAATAATGAGCTTTGTGTGAATGGATAGAGAAATATTGAAGACAATAATAAGATAGGAACGAAAATATATAGTTAGTCGTATAGATGCTCGGAGTCACCAACTGGAAAAAGGCAGGTCACAGTGATAAATCAAGGCGGGTAAAATCTGCTGCAATGAACTTCAAGGGTTGGAATATTGACTAGGCAGTGAACATGAAGATAATGATCTGTATATGAACTGGGCAGTTAACAAGAAGATCATGATTTGTGTATGACTCAGCAGTTAAAAAGATAATGATCTGTGTATGATTTAGCAGTTAACAAGAAGATAATGATTTGTGTATGACTCAGCAGTTAAAAAGATAATGATCTGTGTATGACTCAGCAGTTAAAAAGATAATGATTTGTGTATGACTCAGCAGTTAACAAGAAGATAATGATCTGTGTATGACTCAGCAGTTAAAAAGATAACGATCTGTATATGACTCAGCAGTTAAAAAGATAATGATCTGTGTATGACTTAGCAGTTAACAAGAAGATAATGATTTGTGTATGACTCAGCAGTTAAAAAGATAATGATCTGTGTATGACTTAGCAGTTAACAAGAAGATAATGATTTGTGTATGACTCAGCAGTTAACAAGAAGATCATGATTTGTGTATGACTCAGCAGTTAACAAGAACCCGCGCTCAACCCTAAACTTTTACAACACATCTGGGTAAGGAGGAGTGTTACTATTCTTTGCTTTCCATGTGAGCCTTAGTAAAACTCAGGTGCCCCTGACAGTAACAAATCAACATAGCAGTGGCTAGTGCTCTTGCTTCTTATCCTAAGCATTCCAGGAGTAGAGAAAAGAAGAAGAAGCATCATATTCCCAATACAAACTTTGCCATGTAAAAGAGTTCTTTATTTTTTAGTTTCATTTGACCAACAGTAGCATAAACAATCAACTGATAGGTTTGTCCCCTGGGGATTGCTAACTAAAGGTTTGCCATACCACCCTGAGATTAAAGAATCTCAGTCTGAATGACAAACCAACGAGGCAGATTCCAGGTACCCTATTCAACCTCCAAAAGAAGCTATAATTAGGGCACCTGTAACAGCTACATCAGGTTCAGGTCCCAACAAAGCGGGACTATTTTCACAAATGACCTTGGCTCTGAGGTTGACCTAGCCTTGAGGGTACCAGGTGCAGTCCTGGGAAGTAAAAGCGACTGGAGGGATGCTGACCATATCACATACCAAGTGCCAATTGGTCTATAAAATACAGGTCTAGCCCTATATGCCCAATATGATTTAAAGCATGGAAAAAGGACAAATTAATACTAGTTGAGTGTCACCTGCAGTGCTACGTGGGTAAAGAAACAAGCCACTTACCACATTTTCTACAAGGCTCACATAAAGAGCTCGTCTGTAGACACCTTTGAACCTCACAGCGTACAATAGATTATCAGAGATAGTGGCCGCTGCCTCCTGCAAGGGAAATAAAAACAAGAAGTAGTAAAACTACTCAGCTAATTTCACCAACACCAAGAATAGGGCACTTTCCATAGTTGCTCCGTCTCTATCTTCAGTAGCTAGCACAGTTCCCATACTAATGACACCAATTGCAGTCTGATTTTATGTCCGTCTGACCTTGCTGATAAAAGCTGGACATTGATCGGATCTTCAGCTCACACCAAGTTACATAATTTGCTCAAGACAATGAGGTCTTATTCATTATTTCCCAATTGTTCGTGTACACCGTGTTACAGACACTGCTGTCTTTGGAGCCGTCTTGTGCCAGTCTTGGTTGGTTGAGGGCCTATGCTCATTACCTGTCCTCATTGTTCAAGAACTTTTCGGGCTCGCGTCGGCCTCATCAGTCACATTCGTACTCATACTTAATGAAAAAGAGTGGTCGTCATCATCTTGATGGACAACACACACACGCACACCAAATAAAAATAAAATGAAAAATATATCTGAAATCCTGCAGAGAAAGTGTCTTTAAAAAGCAGTGCTTTAAAAACAAAAACCTCTTTACAAAAACTGTTTTTTAAAAACAATGTTTAAAAAAAAAACTGTCACTGAAAAATATAAACCGTCATTAAAACAAACTGTCTTTAAAAAACGAACTGTCATAAAATATGCCTGAAAAGCAATAAACCAACAGATTCACACAAATAGGCCAGATTAGTACAACAGATGAACACACAGAACTCAGTTCTGAAATGAGATTTAAGTCCAGAAGTGGACAAACAACCAAAACTTTCTGTCAGAGTTTACAGCCAGTGAACAAAAAAAAATAAAAGGAAGACTCTGAGAACCACTGTATTAGAGATAATTTGTGTGGTTCAGCACTTCTACATCCAACACACCCAATTTTAGCAAACCCCTTTATTAGTCACCTTGTACAACACTTATTTAAACACTTAATTATCCCCAACCCCAAAAAATATGGCATATGATATCACAAGGTCTAGTTTGAGAATGGAGGTGGAGGCAGTCAGTGCTGCCTTCTGCTAGCTTGATAATCAGCTGTACACACATGTCGTAATTGTTTAACTTACTCATAGAGCATGATGAGAGAGGCAGAGACAGGCATGCTCAGTGTAGAGTGGAAAGCATCGCTTCAGAGGTCCTGGGTAGTTAGCATCTTTTGGATTTGTTTCTCTAGGTGATGCCAATGTGTTGGGAAATGAGCAGGCAGACAGACTGGCTGGCTTTACACCACTTGGTGGTTAACTGATGTATGACAAGCTTGCAATTGTGAGAGTCCTTTGGGAGCGAGTGAACAGTGCAGAGGCATAAACAGATCATTACAGTCTGAGGAGAATGGCTCTGCCAGGAGTTACCTGCCAGGAGTTACCAGGGAATCTGGCCGACACTCAACACTCAAGGGAAAGGCAAGATGGATATACAATCAGACAGTTACTCTTGCCATTGGAATTGGAACTTTTCCCTTGCTGCTGAATATAGGGACACAGTGCTTATGGGAGTTTCCCCCCGAGTGCTGTGATGTTGATTCTTAATTCAGCATTCAATACTTTTACCCATAAATGGGGACCCTGAACTTACACTATCTATATCCTCTTGTGACGAAATGACCTCAGTGGTCTCAGAAGTTATATTGTGTTTGATAATTTCTTATGTTCAGAGAAGGACAAAGAATTAAGAGCAATAGACACTGAGCCTAAAACCACTATAAGGGATTTGAGAATTGTTTAAACTGTGTTTCCCGTCTTAGCCAGACAATGCGACTGAGTCTTGGGTAATGTTACGCAATTACACCGGGGCTAGAGAATTTCCTTTCACATGCCCATGTCATAAATGTTATCTCCTGACCAGACTGCTTTGAAAGACTAGATCAGGGGAATTGAGTGGACTCTAGACATTGTGGAGACGAAAGGTTTGAGTTTCGTATGTCAGTGTAATTCTCAAGAGAACGGGTGTTTGGCAATTAGGAATGTTCGATCTTGGTCAAGTAGGAAACACAATGGCTTCACTGACCGTCTTTTCACACCGGCTAGTTAGATTCGTTGTAAACTAGATTGGGTCACTTAAGAATGTTTGCTCTAGGGATGTCAGTCCAGAATTGACTGACAGGCCACTTGTTAGCTAATTTGATCTGATAGGTACTTCAGAGGCGTGGCTTAAGTCATCGTCTTGAGGGTTGGGTAGAACGGAGTAAAGGGAGGAGTTTAACCTTTGAGACAGATAGATAGTATACTTCGAGCCTTTGGAATTCCCGTCATTAATCGCAGCCTGCCGGCAAACAAACACAGGTCGACCTAAAAGGTAAATTTTACGGTCGGATTCTGGTTTGGCGATCGATGGAAGTTCCCAGGTAAAATATTAATTTTAATCTTGTATACATAGGTTAGGGAGTTAAGCTTAGTCTATACTACCTTTTCCTAAATTTGTCTGCACATTCTGCTTATAATAGTTCTTTGTGAGTATTCAGTATCTCAGTTAGGGAACTGTTAAACTATTCCTATTTCTTGTATGTTTGTGTCACATGTTTTTCAGTGTATGTTTTCATGTGTATAAAATAAGATGTGAACAATGACATTTGCTATAATGAAATGTAATTATATTGTTTCCATGATCAGCCAAAATATGAGTTGGGACTGTGGGAAATGATGCCCAAATATGTGCAGGGATGCTGCTAAGTTTTATGTGCCCACCATGTGCTTACTTAATGTGTTCACCTAAACAGGGGATTTATAACCCCAGGGGAAGAATGATAGGTGTATAGAATTCACGGTCACTGAAAGATAATATTCAGGACAGCGTGCACATATAAATCGTTTGCGTGTTCAGCACATAACCTGCGCCACATGTTTATGTCAAATCAATGTCAGCCAGGTGGAAGTCTGAATGATGACGGACAACAGACTTAGAAAGTCAACTATCATGACACAGAATGAGAGGGAAGGCAGAATATGTGACGTCCATGTAAGACAAAAGACCTTCAGACTAGACTGGAGAGAATGTGGAATATGAGGAGTGATGGGATATATTTTATTATTATATGTTATATTAACTAATACATGTATTTTTAGTGTAAGTCAAGATACTACACGTATGTGTTTGTTTCCATGATTACAGCGCCATGTGACGATCAGTCCATGAAAGAGACTACATTGTGTTAGACTCGGCCAGCTGGGAACGAGGTGGAGAACGAGGTGGAGGACCAGGAGAACTGGGAGGAAAAGGTGGAAGAACTTGACAGTACCCACGGCTGTCAGAGGTTCTATGATAATTAAGTTACGTCTCACCATGTATTATGGATGTAAACCTATCACCACCATTATCCATTCACTCTAATCTTAGGTGCTCAGTTATCAAGCTGAAGCCTCTCATTATCACCATACCATCACTATCTATTATAACAATAATGATGACTAATGTCGTACTCTGATTGCTAGGTTAATAAATCAAATATATGGTCTTATCCTGCATCAGTTTTTGTAATTCCAAATGTCTGTTTTTACATGTTTAATTAATCTGTTAAGATAGAATACCATTTGGTGGGGGCTCAAATAATAATGATAATAATTCTTTAATTATTCATAATAACACCGGGAGAAGGTAGAAGACGGAGGAATCATTTGCCCTGTCTAATAGTTCATTCAGCATAATGATATAGACATCTAAAATTCCTTTCCTTCTCTTGTGGGTAGCAAGTTCAGCTAATGTTAATGTACTTAACGAGCCAATATGGCTGTTTTCTTGAGTATCCAGGACTTTGTCTGAGAGCAACATAGCGCGGATAATAGTTCAGTTAATCTGGTGGAGGGGATGTGTTGAGAGGAAAATCCCTATTCAACATATAAATCATTTAAACCCAAATCCAGAGAACCCACGACCCGGGACGACACTAAAAGTGTTGTAATCTCCAAGGGAGTGGGCCGTAACGTCACACTTCTTTATATCATTGTTGACACATAAGGCATTCACAAGTGATCTCCATTGTGGCCGGTCTGCTGCAGTTCTGCCCATGGTATCCCATGTCAGTTTACATTCCTTCATTTTCCATTCTATTGTCCTTCTCCAGGTTTCCTAAGGTCGTCCACGTCTCCTTTTCCCATCTGCTGTCCACCGGAGAGCTGTTTTTGCCAGAGTGTCACAGGGCATTCTGCAAACATGTCCAAGCCATCTCAATCGTCTTACTTTGATAACATTTGGCAGTGATACACATTCTGTTTTCCTTCTCAGTTCTTCATTTGTGATCTTGTTTGGCCAAAATATTTGTAGAATTCTCCTTAAACATTTATTCTAAAAAGTCTCAAGTTTAGTGTAATTCCCGCTGTCATTTTCCAACATTCACTGTTGTATAATAGAATACCTAAAATTTGTCTCTTGTATATTCTGAGTTTTGTCTTTAAACTAAATCCCTTTGACTTCCATATTGCTTATTCTTGAACCCACACTGACAACATTCAATTTTACTCCCATAACTTTCAAATTCAAGTATTTACCTCTTTGTTCATAGAAAAATACTGTGCTATGGCTAGCTCTAACTTCTCCAATGCGCCCCTCTGCTCCATTGGGATCGCCTGTAAATAATAATAAATTGTTAGGCACAAGACGGAAGCTATAGTGGTGTAGTCACTAGTATTACTTGCCTGCAAATCTAGTGGTCACAAGTCCATTGATGTCTTCATCATAACCACTATCATCATGATCATCATCACTGTGATTGTCATCATCATAACCACCATTCATCAGAATTATCATAACCACCAGTCATCAGTATCATCATAACCACCAGTCATCAGTATCATCATAACCACCAGTCATCAGTGTCATCATAACCACCAGTCATCATTATCATCATCACCACCACCACTGTCATCGTCATCATCACTAGCACCATTGTCTTCACCACCACAATCATCATCATCACCATTATCATTACAACCACTGACATCATCATCACCACCTCTGTAATCATCATCACCACCTCTGTCATCATCATCATCATCACTGTCATCATCATCATCACCGCTGTCATCATCATTATCACCGCTGTCATCATCATCAACACCGCTGTCATCATCACCATCACCACCGTCATCATCATCATCACCACTGTCATCATTATCATCACCACTGTCATCATCATTATCATTATCACCACTGTCATCATCATCTCATTACCACTGTCATTATCCTCATGAGCATCATATCCATTGCATCAACATCAATACCATTGTCATCATCATCATCATCATAAGAGCTTATGCACAGGTCTCAACAAATTAACAATATTTTACTATCTAATATCCTGCTATCAATAACCTTTATTTCCTAATAAACCTTCTATCAATAACTTTATAATATAATAAACCTTCTATCAATAACCTTCATTTCCTAATAAACCTTCTATCAATAACTTTATAATATAATAAACCTTCTATCAATAACCTTCATTTCCTAATAAACCTTCTATCAATAACTTTATAATATAATAAACCTTCTATCAATAACTTTATAATCTAATAAACCTTCTATCAATAACTTTATAATATAATAAACCTTCTATCAATAACTTTATAATCTAATAAACCTTCTATCAATAACTTTATAATCTAATAAACCTTCTATCAATAACTTTATAATATAAAAAACCTTCTATCAATAACCTTTATTTCCTAATAAACCTTCTATCAATAACTTTACAATATAATAAACCTTCTATCAATAACTTTATAATATAATAAACCTTCTATCAATAACTTTATAATATAAAAAACCTTCTATCAATAACCTTTATTTCCTAATAAACCTTCTATCAATAACTTTATAATATAATAAACCTTCTATCAATAACTTTATAATCTAATAAACCTTTTATCAATAACTTTATAATATAATAAACCTTCTATCAATAACCTTTATTTCCTAATAAACCTTCTATCAATAACTTTATAATATAAAAAACCTTCTATCAATAACCTTTATTTCCTAATAAACCTTCTATCAATAACTTTATAATATAATAAACCTTCTATCAATAACTTTATAATATAATAAACCTTCTATCAATAACTTTATAATATAATAAACCTTCTATCAATAACTTTATAATATAATAAACCTTCTATCAATAACCTTTATTTCCTAATAAACCTTCTATCAATAACTTTATAATATAATAAATCTTCTATCAATAACTTTATTAACTAATATGCCACTGTCAATAACTTTATTAACTAATATGCCACTGTCAATAACTTTATTAACTAATATACCACTGTCAATAACTTTATTAACTAATATGCCACTGTCAATAACTTTTTAAACTAATAAACCTTCTATCAATAACTTTACTAAATACTATCCTGCTTTCAATAATGTTAATAACTAATAAATCTTTTATCATAACTTTATAAACAAAAAACCTTCTATAAAAACTTTATTATTTAACATCCTGCTGTCAGTAACGCTATTAAGTTACAAACCTTTTCTCAGTAACTTTATTAAATAAAATCCTGCTATCATTTACTAACATTCAGTTATCAATAACTTTGCTAACACCAACTGAGCCATCTTACATTCTTTTATCGATAACTTTACTATCCAATATCCTGTTATTAAAAACTTTAATGTCATCCTGCAACTAATAACTGTTAACTAGTATCCTGTTAACAATAATAACTATATTACACCACAATCCGCTAACAATTAGCCTACTATCAAAAACTTTTTTAACTACTATCCTGCAATCAATATCTTTACTATTTCATTTTATGTTTTCAATGACTTCGCTAACAACGATTCTACTGTCAATAATTTTATTAATCAATAACTTTGTTAACTTACAGCTTGCCAGTTATAACTTTGTTAACTACTATCCTGCTGCCAATAACTTTACTATCTAGCATTCTGCAATGAATAATTTCATTAAAGAAAATGTTCTACCAACCAAGCTGCTATCAACAATGGACACTCACCACAAAATCAGATGGATTCTCCACTCTGACAACCTGCAGAGATACAAACTTGAGCAAGGGATAGGACCAAAACTTTGGCAAGTGACAAGTATCACAGACTGAGGCTGTTGCTGAGGCAGCTCGTGTTGTTGCAGGAGTAGAACCAGAAGCAGCAGCATCAGCTGAAGTTTCAGGTTTTGTCTTCCATGTATACAGAGCTTTCCCAGGGGTTGGCTTAACACTGTTGTCTGTTTGTGTCAAGTCTTGAACACACTCCTCAACATGGCAAGGCTGTGTGTCCGGGTCAGTTTTACCAACACCTGTATTCACAGAGTCATTGTTATCCTGAAGCCTCTCACCACCCTCCCAATCATCCAGCTCCTCCAGCATGCTTCCACCCTCTGTGTCCGTCTGAGATGTGTCTGAACAAAACAGATCCTGCCAGATGTTCTCCACGTTGCCACCGATGGACTGTAATTGCTGCATCTCTTCGATGGTGGCCAATACAAATTCGTTGATGTTGACATCATCTTCTTGGCTTGTATCAAAAAGGTCAACCTCTAAGATTCTGGATGAACAGAGAATGAGAAACAATTATTATCTAACGATGATTAGAGTCTCTTGACAGAGTACAAAATGATGCCCTCCGATTAATCAGCGGAGCTATGCGGTCTACTCCAACTTCTGCATGTGAAATCCATACAAATGTGGAACCCCTCGGGTTGCGGAGAGAAAAAGCCACTTTATAAATTTATGAAAGATGTGTTAGAAAGAATCGTAACCATCCTAATAGACACCTTATAGAAAATTGGGAATACAAACAAAGAATAAAGCACAAATCGGTTTTACACTATGTACATGAGGTACAGGACAGATGCCATCTCCCAGAAAGACGTCAGGGCACTCATAATGTTGCAAGAAACTTACCACCACATGCTCGCTTTAAAGCTCCAGAAGTCTGGTTGAAATTGGTAGACGAACAAAATGAACTAAAGACCATTGATTCTTACCCCGAAGAATGGATACATGTTTATACTGATGGATCTGCATTCAAAGCTACCATTAAAGCAGGTTACCGAATCTACATAGGTTACCCTAATGGATCTATTGAAGAGATATTTGATGCATGCGGGGAATTCTGCTCAAATTATGAAACTGAAATAATCGCACTGGAAACAGCAGTATACCACCTAATAACTGTAATGGATGTTTATCCTTCAAAGGCCCAAAATATTGTCATCTTCACCGATTCAATGTCTGCTCTTCAAGCTCTGGAGGGCAGTGAACACTGCAGAACAGACATAGGTAAGATATTTCTAGATGCTGATCAGCTTATTACCTCATACAACATCAGAATAGTGATGCAGTGGATTCCTGGCCACTCCGGCACACTAGGTAATGACAGAGCTGACAGACTGGCAAAGCAAGAACAACCACCTACAGCAAAAACCCTACAGACAGCAAAAACATTTATAAAAGCTATAAATAAAGAGACTTGGCTGAACAGATGGGCCCTGGAAGAGAGGTTTATAGACACATGGCTAGCCCTGATCCTAATGACAGCATTGACCATTTAACAAGAAGGGACCAGGCCACCATCTTCAGACTCAGAACACAACATGCTCCACTCAATGGACACGTAAACAAAATAGAGCCACAACACTCCCAGAGTGCCAGCTATACAACTACCCCTATGAAACCGTTGACCATCATCTCTTTGAGTGCCCAAAACTCAACGAGACTAGAATACTACTCCGTCCGAGACCAGACAGGTGGAACACCTTGTACGGAGGAAATGAACAGCTTGTGAAAACATGTATATTCCACTACATGGCATTGAGCCAAAGGGTGAAAGCTCATGTGCCGCTGGATCAATAACAACAACAACATCTAACAATGATAAAAAATTACAAGTTATGCGAGGGGAAAAAAAACGAAAAAAATATACTTGGCACATTCTGAGAATAATCTAAAAATCACAAATCAGGCACTGAAAATAGGAAACGAATATTCAAGAAGTCTGCTTCTTAATTCATCTGATAAAGTGCTGTTCCCACAATCTGTCTGAAAGTATCTCACCTTCTTTGCATTCACCAACTGTAAACCTGAGTGGACATTTCTGGTTGTTCGTCCACTTCTGGACTTTGGTCTTGTTCCTGAACGGATTCTTATTAACTTGCCTCCTATCATCTGAACTTTGATGATATTCTATTTACCACTTTTCTTTCATGACCAGCTAATCGTTATAGTAGGAGGGAATTATATGGGATCTCTAGGTAAAAAGGTAACGGTCCGCCAAAATAAATCTTTATACTGATCAATAGAATAGTAAAGCGCTGATCAAAGAGCATCTTAATAACTTGACAATCCACTGATATATGAGACAGATCAATACAGTCTGAGGAGAATTTCACTGCGAGGAGTTAAAAGGGGATCTTGCTGGCGCTCGACAGTCAGGGGAAAGGCGAGACGGATATTCAATCAGAAAGTTACTGGTACCAGCAGAATTTTAACTCTTTGCTTGCTGCTGAAGATGGGAACGAAGCGCTTATGATTCCTAATTCAAAAATCAACACTGATATATGAGGGGAAGTCGATAAGCAAGTCACAAATGGTTGTTTGAGAAAAACTTGGGACGATAACTTAAAAACCGTTAATTTTTACCCAAAAAAATAGCATTTATTCTTTGAGGGTACACTCCAAAAGTACAGTCGCCATTTTATTTTTGTTGTTGAGAATACATGCAACACCTAGCACCACATAACGAATAGAGACATAAAGTTTGATGTTGCTGTCACCTAATGACACCTTTAGAAACCACTAACTACATTTTCCTGCCCTCCCATAGCCATCTGTGACTTACTTATTTGATGACATGGGACTACTAGAAGATAAAAAGATGAGGTTATGGGATGAGCCGCACAGGATAGAAAATAAAGAATGACTTGGTGTGAGTTGGCTGAGGGCATTTGCTTCACTGAGGAATTAAGGGCACAAGAATAGGAAGGACTGACAGACAAACAGATGGACAGACAGAGAGACAGATAAAACAGATACAGATAAGACAGAAAAACAGAACAGTGAGACAGACAGAAAGACACAGACAAATATATAATAGTAAGCAGAACCTACTCTCTCCAGTAACCATAGCCAGGAATGTTTTTGATGACCTCCTCCACATTCTCAAGAGATTCTTTATAGACGTCCTGGTACACTTGGCCCACCTTGCCGGGACTGATATCATTCAGGCAACTGATGATCTATACAAATATAAGCAATATTACCCAATTTACTGACAATGTAGCCCCCCTCTTACAGCATAAGACAATCCCAATCAGCACAAAGAGACATCTTATTCAAAGCATATTTATTCCAACTCTATGCTACCAGTGCCAGACATGGTCACTCACAACAAATCATAAAAGAAAATTAGTAACCACGGAAATGAGATGTCTGAGAAGGGCTGTAGGAGTGACCATAAGAGATAAGATCAGGAATGAGATCATAAGAGAACAAGTCGGCACAGAACCAATTCTGGATTACATACAAAGACAGCAAGTGAAATGGTTTGCCCACTTAGAATGCCTCGTGACACCATACCATACAAAGCATACATGGAAAGAGAAGAAGGACGTAGAGCACGGGGTAGACCAAGAACAAGATGGAAGGATAACATCAGAGAAACTCTTCAACAGCACGATGTGCCTATGGTCGAGGCAGCCAGAAGAGCTAGAAACAGAACCTTATATCTCCTTCGACACCCACAGCGGTAAAAGAGGAAGTGAAGAAGAAGAAAAAGACTGACAATGTACATGGACCGTGTCACTGGCATAAAACTGAGGCACTTACAAAGCTCTGTATGCTTGAACATGTATGCTGTTGATGTCTTAGCCAGACACTTCACTTGAACATAGTAAATTGTGTGGCCCTGCCCTGCCAATAAGTGTGGTGATCATGGTTCTAAATCGCATATGATCAAACAGAGTCTGACCAGATCTGTGTTTCTCTTATGTCTTGGCTGCATGCCAAGCCAACAAGGCATTTATCGCTCTTTCCCCATGGCTATTTTCCCCCATTAACTGGGCTGACTGTCACCAGCTCGTCTTTCACACTGCATATGTATTTTATCAATAAGCATGTTATATTGAGAAAGGGGAAGAGGTGGGAGAGAGACAAGCGACAGAAGGGGGGAGCGAGGGGGGGGGGGGTGTTCAGAATGCAAACAGACCTGTCCAGAGAGCAAAGAGACCTGTCCAGAGAGCAAAGAGACCTGTCCAGAGAGCAAAGAGACCTGTCCAGAGAGCAAAGAGACCTGTCCAGAGAGCAAAAAGACTTGTCTAGAATGCAGTGCTGATTCTGCCCCCCTGAGTGTAGTAGGCTACCAAGGGGAAAACTATGGCAAAAGAGAAAAATAAATCAAAGGCAGCAAAATAATAAATGAAAGAATTTATAACAACATGAGAAAAATGTGACCATCTAGAGAAGGACTATACAACTAGCAGCCCACGGGAGGCCAAGCAAGTGGCCTGCGGATTATTGCCAATGTATTGTATGAATGATCTTTCTAAGCTGGGGCTTGGACGTCTGGCCCACGATTATCCCCATTTTCAAAATGTTGGCTCCTGGGTAAATTTTCTTGAACAGCCCTGATCTAGAGGAATAAACATGATGCTAAAATGAAAACTGTCAAATCTGTATTTTGCCACCAAAATCTTAACACCACTGGAGTTGTGAATATACAGAAGAATAGGCATACTTCAAAGGAAACCATGATTTAAAATATATAGGTTTTAAAAAGACTGACAGAAAATAAGGTGGGATGGAAATTTAAGAGCATGAAATATTTCTGCCACTTTAAGCTGAGTTCAGCTGAGCTCAGAGCGGACATGACAGTACTCAGGACATTCCCCTAAGCAAGTGCTCATTCCTCATATTCAGCAGCCAGCGAAGAATTCCTATCCTGATAGAGGAAGTGTGGACACACAGCAACACTAGCAGAACAACAACTACATACCTTCCTAACCCTGTTTGTTATAGTGACATCTAAGCCTCCTGGATCACCATTCCTCTTCTCTGCATGTTTTCCTTTCCTCAGAGCAAACAATGTGGCTCCAGTGGTTAACAGCTTAATCAGCAGGCGGACGGCCATCGGCTTAAGCTTGTCTGGGAGACTGTCTAGACCATGCAACCTGGCCATAACAGCCTGCAATTATTGAAAACCATATAACGCTCAATCAGTGCCTGAGGTAACGGAACATTAAATGGTTAAAAATTGATGAATATTGAATGTTGATTTAAGAAATGACATCACAGCACTCAGGACACTCAGATTAGTATTCCGTCTTCATCTTCAGCAGCAAGCAAAAAGTTCCAATTCCGATGGCACCAGAAACTGTCTCCCTGATTCCCTGAGTTTTAAGCATCGGTTAGATCCCCTGCTAACTCCTTGCTGGCCAGATCGCCGGCTAACTCCTTGCTGGCCAGATCGCCGGCTAACTCCTTGCTGGCCAGATCGCCGGCTAACTCCTAGCTGGCCAGATCCCCTGCTAACTCCTTGCTGGCCAGATCCCCTGCTAACTCCTTGCTGGCCAGATCCCCTGCTAACTCCTTGCTGGCCAGATCCCCTGCTAACTCCTTGCTGGCCAGATCCCCTGCTAACTCCTTGCTGGCCAGATCCCCTGCTAACTCCTTGCTGGCCAGATCCCCTGCTAACTCCTTGCTGGCCAGATCCCCTGCTAACTCCTTGCTGGCCAGATCCCCTGCTAACTCCTTGCTGGCCAGATCCCCTGCTAACTCCTTGCAGTGCTATTCTCCTCAGACTGTAATGATCTATTTGTACCTCTGCACTGTTCACTCACTCCCAAAGGCCCCTCACAATATGTAACTTGATTAATTTACCACCAAGTGGTGCAGAACTGCATTTATATACAAATATACATAAAATGAATGCATACTCTCTCTCTCTCTCTCCCACACACATGCACATATTCACATGTATGCATACACACATTCATAGATACACACACACTGACACCTACCCACCCACACACACACACACAAATATATATATATATATATATATATATATATATATATATATATATATATATATATATATGAATGTCCATACAGACATACACTCGTACACAGTCATATCTACAGTCTCATACACACACAATTCATACATACACTTAAAAATGCATGCACACACATTCATACATACCCATACATGCTCTAATACACACACACACACATTCATACATACCCATACATGCTCTAATACACACACACACTTACATGAATTCGCATACACATACAAATACTCTCATATGTACACACACACACACACACACAAAAACATGCAGCATTCACACATGCGCTGAGAAGAACCGAGCAGATAATCCACCAAGCAGTCACAAATGGGTTAAGGAAATGAGACCATCCATGAGAAACCTAAAAACAAAATGCTGATGAGATAGGTCCAAAGGCGCTGGTCTGGATTCTATCCCACCACACAAAAAAATGGTTGACACATTCCCTTTCTGGTGACAGCTTTTATCGAGTTTGCTCTCTAGACAGTTCCTGTCCCCTGCTGACTGCGATCAAAACACTGCGAGGGCAGCGTGGTCGAGACTGCCAAAAGTATCGGTCATTATCCTGCCCTGACATTGCACAACCACAAAACACGCTGCTCCCAAGGAAAACACTTAGTAACCTGCATCGGAAATGTCACATGCAATGGCAAAACATAATCGTCAGGATATAAATTAAAACGGTAAAGCTGTGAGTCTGGATACTAAACGACTAACACTCAGCAGACGCAAGCTCACACACCTGATAGGAGAGGGATCTGTTCAGCTGTGGATCAATTTCCCGTAGCTGGCTGCGATTTAACGTTTCATTGTGGCCATGGTCTGGCAGGTAACAGTCACAGCTTCCATTCTGACACAGATAAAAGCAAAACAAAAACATTTTCAAGAAAGTATTTATGCATCGCAGACGAATCTATGTTGCATGTAATGAAAAAAAATATGGTAACAAATAGTAAAGGACCCTTTTCCACACCGTCAAGCATGTTAGGCATATAGGGCTAGACCTATATTTTAAAGACCAGTCGGCACTTGGTGGGTGATGTGGTCAATGCCACGCCAACCGCCTTTACTTCCGATGGCTCTAAGCCTTATGAGTTAAAGTAAACACTATGAGGTCATACATCTTTTCCCTGGTAACTAATGGATGCGAGTTATGGACCCTTAGTCAATCTTTGAAAAAACAAATCAGAGCTTCTGAACTGAAATGCTACAGAACAATTCTTAGAACATCATGGACAAAGAAAAAGGAAAAACACTGATATATAAAAAAAGACTGTCAGCTGTCACGAACTACTGTCAGTTTTTAACAATTTTTTCGGGTGGTGTAGACGGGGGACTTTGAGCTTGAGGATTTAGTGCCACCTGGCTAGTGCTGTTGCCATGGACTGTGCAGGTTAGGATTCAAAACACTCTCCCCATGTAGATTTCAAGACCCTATTTTAGACAACAGGTGAGTGTCAAGTAACTATGCTATCACAACTCCCACAGAAAGAATATTCGAAAAAATTAAAATTATTTCACGCGATGAAGAGCTATATTTTACCATGTGTATATATTTTTACAAGTTATCCCAATGCCTCTATAACAGTAATTTCATAAAAGGCAATTGATTAAAATCTTGCTGAAATATGATGTGCTGGGTCAAAAGTAACAGATATCGCGGCCTAGCTGAAAACTCCAACATAAAATACCAACTGCCCTTATAAGGGTGAACGCAGAAGAAGAAAAACATTAATAGATACAACTGTGGAAGGTAAGGACAAACCATCCCTGTAGCATACCTTGTGTTCCTTGATAACCCTGACTCTGTGGTATTTGTTCTGATCTGTTAACTTTTCCATGCCTTCCTCATCATACTCCACATCCTCTGCATCTTCAGAACCAGCCAGCACCATGCAAGCGTAGATGTTGCTCTGCCGGATCTTCTCAGGGACAGGAAAGGAGTAGAAGTTGTCGGCAATTTCCTGTTCCAGTTCATCTAGCTTATCCTGAAAGGACAAAATCTTTCATCAAACTTCATTTCCACTTTGTTATACTGAGACATTTCAACCATTTCTTAACCTTATTTTATGAGATGCACAAATTACTGACAGCTAAAGAGATAAACAACACACTAAAAATGAGAATCGTCAAATGTTATGTAAACATAAGCCTGCTATACAAGAGATGTGGATTTATATAAGAATAGGTCTATTTCAAAGAAACAAAACCTGCCTAATATAGAGGTTCTGGAAAGACTACAAATAAAAATAAAATTACTAACAGAAATAAAAAGAGACAAATGAAATACTCTGGCCCCATTAAAAGACATAACATTCTTTCAAAGACAATACTGTAGCGAAAGGTCGAAGGCAAGACAGCAAGAGGTGGGCAACGATACTAGTTGGAGAACAACATCAAGAGGTGGACATGAAGTAGTCTGAGCTAAGAGTGTACAACCAGGACAAAAGACAGGGTGTGTTGATGATCTACTGGAGCCAACCTTCAGTGTGGAGATGGCGCCCGACTGATTTAATTCATATCCTCATTTTATTACAGCAGAGGACAATCTATTAACTGAATTTGTAACTTTTAAACTATTCGTTAGTTAATTTAAATACTTTTAACTTTACACTTAATAAACATCTTTCAGTTATGCTTAATAAAATATTTCAAACTGATCCATGAGTGACAAAATATTTTAAACATTATCCTTAATCGACAACAATCTTTCACATTTAATATTTGCTGATACAAATGTTTTCAAACTTATCCTGAAATAAAAAAAAATAAAAAAACTTTCAAAGTGACCGTGAAGTGAAGGGAAAAAACCAGATGTAAAACACAGTCATGACGCACTTCAGTTTCCCCTTCGATAATGTGACTAAACAACGTGGAATGTTTTTCTTCTGCTCCAAGCAATCAGTTCTATTTGTGAGTTAATTTATCTTAACATATCTTCACTGTTAAACCTTTCACTGTGCTTTTCATCAGCCCATGGTGTTTCTATCATATTTTTTTTTCAAAACCATATCTTAGCAGCTGCTTCCACATAATTTATCACAAATTTACCATGAATCACTTCCATACAGCAGATAAATACATCCCTTGCCAAAAACTCATACCCCACCTTTTCGATCACTTCCTGTCAAGTATCTTTCTTCTGTGGTAATATTAGCGCAGTTGATAAGAGGCTTGCTTTCAAATCCAGCTGCGACTTGCTGCTTCCCACGGCCAGGGTTCGAAAACGGGCGGTTCCCGGGGTTCACCCAGCCTCTAGGAAATGGGTACCAGAGTCGACACTCTGGGATAAATGGAGGAACGTCGCTATGGCTACAGAGTTACATGCGAACGGCAACAAAGGCGGACAACTCTTATCAGCTGTCCGTACTGGTGGCAGAGCACTTATGGTTTATAACTGAGTGCAATGACGCTGGTTCACATCTCCCGACTTTATCTTTTACAAAGCCTAAACTAAAAAAAAAAAGATAAAGTGGGGAGATGTGAACCAGTGTCATTGCACAGGGTTATAAACCATAAGTGCACTGCCACCAGTATGGACAGCTGATAAGAAACTGTCCGCCTGTGTCACACAAAACTCTGTAGCTACAGCGACGTTCCTCCATTTACTCCAGAGTGTTAACTCAGGTACCCATTTCCTAGAGGTTGGGTGAACCCCGGGAACCATCCTGTATCGAACACGGGCCGTGGGCTGCAGCGAGTCGCAGATGGATTTGAAAGCGTGTCTCCTATCGACTGCGCTAGCGGGGGCCCTCTGTCTATACTGTTCTAGCATGGATGGAGACAGGTCTCACTATAAAGCTAAGTGATTTGATGTATTATTGTTTGTATACTAAACAAAAATGGGGCATCCATAATATGCTGTGGGGGCAAGGAACTCTATATATCCACAGACCATTATACATTTCATGGATTTAATATCTATCTTCTGTACAGTTTATCCTCACTTCCAAAAGACAACTCACAGAATATTCATCATCAACTATTCTCAACAGGACAGTGTTTTCTGACATCACTCTGCAAACGTAGACAGCAAATGTATCAGCGTCTGGTAACATCAAAGGATCTGGAATATATAAACAGGAAAACAAAATAAAAAATCAAAAAATGATAACTGCATAATAGCAGAGTGGGAGCCACTGTAGCAGCTGTGGATACGAAGGTCATTGGTTCAAATCTCAACAGAGCTGGATTTTTTTTTTTTAAATGACCTTGACTTCCAGGTCTTTTTCTCTTCCCCCCATTTACCTCAGCGAGGTGTTGGGGGAAGTCGTAAGGATTGTTTGTGCACTTTTTCCAATGCATTGTACAAGTTGGTGTTCATTTCTGTTAGGATGTGCCCCTGATGATGATGCTCCATCTCTTTCGTGGTCTTCCCCTTGCTCTATGTTCCTTATACTTCTTCAGTGTGGCTCTCTGTGGCAGTTGGTACCAGGGCACTCTCATCAGGTGACCAAAACATTTCATTTATTGTTCTTTAATGAATTGTATAACTGGTTTCAGTCCTAGTCTTCTTCTTCTGCGTTTGACATCAGTCATGCTAAACATTGAGTCCCGTCTGGGTCACAAATAGGATTGTGCATTTAAGGTCGCCACCGGTCCCCCATAGCTTCTCTTTCAATGTGGCTCCCTTGGAGCAGATCCACAGTCTTTGCTGGGAGAGGTTAGGGCAGTACTGTAGTATGTGCCCAGGGGTCTGTCTTTCTGCTCCACAATCACAGGCAGCAGATACTTTTGTGCCTATCCTGTACAGGTGTGCTCCTCGTCTTCTAATTTCTTCATTCCTGATCCTAGGTCAATCCAGCTTTAAAATGGGTACAAGGTAAAAGTCCTGGGAAATAAAAGTGGCCGGCATGATGTTGACTACGCCCTCCACCCAGTGCCGATGGATCTATAAAATATAGGTATAGCTATTTTTGACTGAAGGCATGGAAGAAAAGCAAGTATAAATACAGAATATCAATGACATAAAGGATGAGTGCTTAATATCAATTACTTTAAAGATAATTACAGAATATCAATAACTAAGGATTATTTCAGAATATCAATCATTTTATGATCACTGCAAACTTTTCAAACACATTTTGGATTGTTTTCTTTTATCTACTCCTGAAATGCCTCATGGGTTCAGTGCAGAAAAAGATCTTTTCCGTTCGCGTTATTTTCATGAGATCTCTTAATTTGTCTATGAGCTCTAAATAAACCAGTTTCAGTTTGCTCTGTACTAGTCAGTGTTTATAAACTTCCTCGAATGGTCAGACTTGAACTAGACCTCCACTCTTGGAAGTTAGATAACGACCGTGGTTAGAATCTGGGCGAAACATTTATGATCTTTTATTTTAACCAGATTATAACCCACTGTCATGGTTTTCTATATATTTGTCTTGCACCCCTCGGGGGCTTGGATGGTCGATTTAATCATCTTTTTACAGGTTTCAGCTATACCATTTATCCATCTCTTTCTTAGTCTTCCCCTCACCTTCTCCCAGATGTTCTGCCGTAAAAGTATCACATGCAGCTTGGTCTGGCTGCATTCTCACCAGATGGGCGAACCATTTCCTTTTCTTGTGTGTGTCTGTCAGTATAATTCAAACATGGTCTTATTCCAACTATCTCTCTAATCCTGGTATTTGTAACAGTGTCCCTTCTTGTGCTGCTAGCGACCTTATAAAGACTGCATTTCACAGGTAGTTTTTTTTCTGTTTTAGTGCCCTATTCACTATCCATGTTTGGCAATGAAAGCATAAGGTAGGGATGAAGATGCTATTTTTGCTGGTTGAAGACATTTGGGTGTCTAAGCAGTGAGACTAACTGGTAGGTGACAGCATCTGCCTTCTCTGCTTTGGCTTCTATTCTGAAAAACTGCAACAAAAATAATCAAAACGAAGGAACTGGGGGGAGAAGAGGAGGAGGAGAGATAACAGACTACTCTGAATGATGACAACAAATATTACAGTACAACAAACAGAAGACAAAAGCTACAAACCAGGATCATCGGCAAACAACCTGGTAGCAGTTGCTGAGAATGGTGAGGTTGTTGCTGTTTGCTGTGCTCTTCCTTCTGCAGACTTTGCTGCACTGTCAGCTGCTTCCAGTTTGTGCCCAGCTGGTGGGGTCATGACTGTCTGAGTGGCTCCTTGTTCTGCAGACTTTGTTGCACTGCCAACTTCTTCCAGTCGGTAGCCGGCTTGTGGGGTCATGGCGGTCTGAGTGGTTCCTTGTTCTGCAGACTTTGTTGCACTGCCAACTTCTTCCAGTCGGTGCCCGGCTTGTGGGGTCATGGCGGTCTGAGTGGTTCCTTGTTCTGAAGACTTTGCTGCACTGCTAACGTCTCTCAGTTGGTGCCCCACTGGTGAAGCCATGGCTGTCTGAGTGGCTCCGTGTGCTGCAGACTTTGTTGGTGGGGAATCTGATTGCTGGAGCATGTCATTCACCAGGCTACCGTCCAGTGTATACAAGTCCACAATGCACTGATTACCTGAACAGAAAGAGTCAGATAATAGCACAAGAGTATTGAAAGCCTTAAAAACAGTGATGAATTACAGGTACTACAAGCTACTACTAAATGGTTTTATTCCTGAGCCTGAATTGTAACTACAGCAGCAATAAAGGAGGAGTAGCTGGCCAAATGGTTAAGAATGCAGGGCTCTCATGCAGAGGCCTGAATTCTTCGAGTCCTCGGTAAAGAATAGGATTTTTTGTGGGGGGGGGGGGGGGGGCAAGAAAAAACCAAACCCTCACCTGCATCGTCCACGGCGACAGCACTAGCTGCGCATCCCTTAATCCTCAGACCCAAAAAAAAAGCTCAGTGGCTTTGGATTATCACTTTACAAATTATTTTTAGCAAGGTTCTACAGAAGACTGCTGCTATTAAACTGCAAACATTTTCAGAAGGGCAAGAGCTTCTACCAAAAGATTTGGGTAGTTACCGGCCAGGAAACGAAACCTGGTCAAATGCTGCCACTTTTGCTTTAGAATCTAATAGATGTTTATGAAACATTCCAGAATAGACAGGAGACGGTAGAGGCAGCACTTGATCTTGAGGATTCCTACATTAGTCAGATATGATATTTTGATATCTGCTCTTATGGAAAAGTGGGTTTGTCTCTGGCTGGTGAACTGGAAAACAGCTGTCCTGCATTCAAGCAGTGTATCTCTCCAGCTAGGACATCAACCTCCGAGCCATGCAATATTGCCCTAGGACTGCCACAAAGGTGTGCAATTTCACCAGTGCTCTTGAATGTTTATACAAGAAGGATTGCAGAACTTGAATCTCCAGGTGTTGGCAAGATACTGACACCTGCAGATGATATTCTTGCATACTGACAGGGAAGCAATAGAAATCAGACAGCTCAAGAGCCACAGACAACAGTGGACAAGGTGAACTGACTGGTGTGCAGAGATGGGTGCTGTCATTAATCCAGAAAACATGATTGTTTCATGGTGTCCTCTAGACAACAGGATTGGCAGATCTTATGTCCCAGGTTTAAGAGTTAATAACAGAAACTCAAAAGAGACAGCAACTTAAGTACCTAGGTATCACTTTCATAGAAGCATGTCCAAGGATCATGTGGAGGCTGTTACAACAAAATGCTAAAAGGAACTCAGTGCACTCAAGATTATGGCAGCAATGGACAATGAACAAAGAATATTTTTCCCCAATGTTCCAGACCATCAGAACGGTTGCCTCTATGAACTCGCACGTCAGCAGCAGGTCCTTTATGGTTCCCCATAGCTTGCTCTGCACACTTCGCTCTTAAAACCAGGTTTCTTTTCGAAGTTGTAGGTAGAGTGGACAGGTCTGCAAAATGTGTTTAGGGGTTTGTGGTATTGTCTGACAGGCACATTGTGGGGAATGTACAGTTTTTATTTTATGCATGCTGTAGTTGAGGTTGCAGTGTCCTGTTCATAGATGGATAACTGTAATATGTTGCTTTGTGTTGAGTCTGCTAATGGGGTCTTGTGGATGTTTACTGTTGGTTTGTTCTATCCACAAGTCTTTGTATTTTCCTTCAATGAGTGTTTTGATTTTTGGTAATGGCAATGAATGAGTGAATGGAACTGGCCAACAAGTGCTGCAGAATCAGAAATTCAACAAACGTTTCATGACAATTCCTGCCCAAGTGACGTGATTATCTATACAGATGGCTCTGTGTTAAGAGGCATAAGAAGTGCATGGGGTTCATAGCAAAAGTTAATGGATGACCCTTAGCACAACAAAGCCTGGTATATGATATCACAACATCTAGTTTGAGAATGAAGGTAGAGGCACTCACTGCAGCCTTCCGCTGGTTTGAGAATCAGCTGCACACACATTTTGTGAATATAACTGACTTGCAAAGCATGCTAAGAAAGGTGGCGACAAGTATGCTTCATGCAGAGTGGCAAGCATCACTTTAGAAGTCCATGGTACTTAGCATCCTTTGGATATTTTCTCCAGGGTAAACAGGGTGTATTATGAAATCAACAGACAGACTTGCTGGCTCTGCACTACTTCGTGGTATATCTGTTCATGACAAGCTAGATGTAGCCAAGCCTCTTAAGGAGGGAGTGAACAGTACGGAGGCACGCTTAGATTACCATAGTTTAAAAAGAATGGTGCCATAGGGAGGGACTAGGGGATCTGGCTGACACTCCGCACTAAGAGGAAAGGCAAGCCACACTTACAATCAGAATGTTATCCGCACCATCGAGTTGGAACTCTTCGCTGGCTGCTGAAGAGGGCTATGGAGTGCTTATAGGAATATCCCAAGTGCTATGATGTCTGTTCCCAAAACTCAACTCACTCCTCTGAGCGCCGAGCCACTTTATAAGGCAGATGTGGTAAAGGTTCTCTGACATGAAGTGGATGATGCAGGAGAACCAAGTGCCATTACCAGGTGAGACTGATTCAGCAAGAAAAGTAAGGAAGGGATCGGGATCTGTGTGACATTCAAAGTGCAATGAACAAGCCCACCAAAATGAGAACTGAAAGTTGGCTGCTGAAGGAGATGATAAACATGACCTAAGCATTGTGACGTAGATTCTTAAATAAAATATTCATGCATTCGTTTGACTGTTGATATATTTTTAACACTCACAAAACATATGAGGCCTCTACAGTGTGTTAGAGAATGCCAACTGTTTCATCATGCTGAGTGAATGTGTAAACAGAAAGAGTTCATCCACAAGTGAAGTCATACCAGGTATATCACAAGCTACGAGAAGACAGGAAGGCCAGTATGCTCTGCTAGCATACGTGAACAACTGAGACGGATGCCTCTGTCATCATTCTTACCCATATAGGACTGCAAGTTACTCTGAGCTGGTTCAGCTATTATATGCCCTAATTATAACTTCAATGGAGGTTGAGTGCAGTATCTCAGATCTATCCATCCAGATAGAGATTTTTAATTTTTTTTTTAAATCTCAGGGTGATAAAACTTCAGGTAGCAGCCTCGAGGGGACAAACTGACTGACTGATTGAACACTTGTGTGGTAATATCTGATGTGATTAATTTATTTGTAGTCAAATCTAGTAAACAAGGACCAAAAAATCTAGAGTTTGCTTTAAAAAAAGTGTCTGCTAACCGGGAGTTAATAGATGTAATATAAATAATACATCCCAGCAAGGACAAAAATATTGTTCATGTTAACTGAGTGTCCATCATAAATGAGTTTATGTTAACTGGGTGTTCATCATAAGTGAGTTTATGTTCACTGAGTGTTTCTCATAAGTGAGTTCATGTTAACCGAGTGTTCATCACAAGTGAGTTAATGTTAACTGAGTGTTCAACATAAGTGAGTTGATGTTAACTGAGTGATCATCATAAGTGAGTTCATGTTAACTGAGTTTTCCTCATAAGTGAATTCATGTTAACTGAGTGTTCATAATAGGTGAGTATATGTTAGTTGACTGTTCATCATAAGTGAGTTCACATTAAATGAGTTTGTGTTTTTTTCACAATGCTCTAATTCCACAGAGAGACTGAGCCATGTGTGATGAAAGCCTAATGTAATGAAGTCGGTTCTCTACATTTTAACGTCTTTTCAATAAAATGTTTTTTTTATTTTGTTATGCCTTAAAAATACATTTTGCATACATACCTTTATGTTCAACTATCTCGACTGACAAAGTGGTGTTCGTTACTGACAAGTCAGTTAAAAAATTGATGACATCCTTTAGCCATTCACCAGCCTAGAAAAAAAAAAGAGCAATCAAAATAAACAAAAACAAAATTGGGGAAGGGGGGGGGGGGGGGGGGGGGGGGGGGGGGGGGGGAAAACTCAAAACTGCTCGGTTATTTTAAAAAACAATGTGTAAATTAAGGAAAGTCATAATTTAATTAAAATGCTCTTTAACCTGAAGGTACAAGGCAAAAAGACGGAGAAGATAATTAGTCAAAACAAAAAAAAAATGTAGGGAGAACACAGAAGGGTGCAGAAAATGGTAAACTATTTGAAACCTGGTGATGCTGACCACATCACCACCAAGTGCCTTCAGGTCTCTAAAATACCGGTCTAGCCCTATATGCCCAAAAGGCCTGAATGCATGGGAAAAGGTCCTTTACTTTAGTAACAAAATACTCAAATTTGTCATGAACCTCTTTCAAAGTGATATCTGTCTTTAGTTCTGGCTCCTATATTTCATTTAAACACCCCTATATAAACGTCTAGGGATAATAACAGTCAAGAGACCTTCATAGATTTCATGATGATCACCTTACTTAGCAGACCCACGGGGAAACACACGAGCTAACAAATTCACACATAGAGAGAAACCAATAGACACAGATGTACACTCAACACATCTTTATCTGGTCCTTTTTCCACACAGCATTCACAAAAGTATCACATGGCCTGTCCACCACTTCACATCCACAATAGATTTGTTTACATATCTCTTATTTGTTTATCTACTTTTCACAAGTTATAGAGCCGATGCAATCATTCTATCCATGCATAGGTTATCAGGTATAACATCACCATTGTAATATACAATTCATGCTTACTAACAATCTCTAATCCTCTTATCTTTTATGACTATGCTATAATGTCTAAGATCACCTAACTATTATTAATGGTATCAGTTGGTTTGCTACAAATAACATTAAGACAACCAATGCACAGGTCTTCTCTCACCAACTTTCAAACCTCCACTGTCCAGTCACTAGGTGATTGTACTTTCACCAGCCTTTACCACACTTGATGTTTGTTGATTTAAGTGTTTCACTTTCTCTGTGAGCTGAACACTTTTCACCACATTCATGATTTGGTTAACTCCAATCTCTAACCTATTTTCATTTGGCAGCAAAACTGTACACATTCAGCACAGACTATAACTTTCTATAAATAAATATCGTGTCATGTAAACATTGTAGGATACCATATGCAAGTGTTTCTTAAAGTGGGTGCTACCGCCCCCTGGGGGTAGAGGTGGCACTGTCCTAGGAGAGTTAGGGGGAAAGGGTGGAATTTTTTTTGGGGTGGGGGGGGGGGGGTGAGGGAGATGATGGAGAGATAATGTCCAGACAGATCTACAAACACTTTATGTCACTAACTAGAAAGAGAAGGCAAACTAGAGACAAGTGGAGCAGGTAATGTCTGCAGCAATGAGCCTCAAGGGTTCGGAATGCTGAAGAAGAAGAAGAATGAATGAATGCTGCTATGGCTGATTTTTTAAGTATAAACAATTCGAAGTTTCTAGGTCTAGATTGGAATATGTGCAAATGACATAAGGCAACCTCCTGCATTTGTCTGTTTGCTCGATTACAGGAACAGAATAAACTCAAGAATTTCATGACAAAAATACCTAGATGATTTAGCCACACATAAAGGGGGAGGCAGAAGCACAGAGCTGATCCATGATATTGCTGATCACGTACGATGGCAAATCATGATCATCTACTCTTATCGACATAGAACATGATGATGATGATATTTCCAGGGGGGAGGGGGAGCAGGGCACTGAGTGAATTTTTAATTGAAAAGGCACTAGAAGAACAGAAAATAACTATGTGTGAAATGCACTGGCTCTACAAGGTCACCAACAACACAAGAAGAGACAGGGTTACAAATACAGTGGAACCTCGCTTAACGAGCATAATCCATTCCAGAATCATACTCGGTAAGCGAAACACTCGTTATGCGAAACACTCGTTATGCGAAACAATTTTTCTCATTTAAATTAATGTAAAATACGATAATGCGTTCCATGTCGAAAAAAATACAAAATGCTATGTATAACGTTTATTCAAAGAAATTATATACATATTAAGGAGAGTGAATCATCATCTTTTCTTCAAAAGCGGAACAAACCCACCTGGAGTGCGTATTCGATTTGCAGGAAAAAAAAGTCGAAATAATTATGATACATAGCTAATTATTTTTTTTACTAGAAAGATGTCCAGAGACATTTGTTTTTGCCGACGCTTCAAAATTTTGCGAAAATGCGACCCAGCATTATCATTAAAAAAATTTGCAACGCCCATAGCCACTTCCTTATTAGGGTGATGCTTCTCAATGTAAGATTCAACAGTTTCCCGTGTTTTCAGCATTTCTCTTATTTCGCCAGAAGATTGTTGTTTTCTGTTACCTCCTCCTCCTCCTCTGACAAACTTTCCTCCAAAACTTCTTGCAGTCAAACACTATGCAACTCCATAAGCTCTTGGGTGGTCAGCTCTTGGCTGTGCTCTTCCACAAGCTCTTAGATATCACTGTTATCCACCTACAATCCCTTGATAGTGGCCAAAGACACAAGCTCGTTAACTACAGGTTCCATAGGTACTGTCTCGAACTCCTCAAAGTCACAAATCGACAACGCTCTCCGGCCAAAGCTTCTTCCAAGCAGAAGTTATTCTCTTGGTAACCCCTTCCACCGCCTTGTGGATCATCTTGAGGCAGGCAACGATGTGGAAGTAATTTTTCCAAAACTCTTTGAGAGTGAGGTTGATCCCTTCAGTCACCTGAAAACAATGCTCAAAGAGTGCTTTAGTGTAGAGCTTCTTAAAGTTAGAACTTGCTGGTCCATGGGCTGGAGTAACGGAGTGGTGTTAGGAGGCAGAAACTGGATCTTGATGAACTTAAATTCTTCAGAGAGGTCATCTTGTAGGCCTAGAGGATTCATGTACATATATCACAATAATAACACATGTTTGAGAAAATGTGTGATCAAAAGCGACACTACGATGCTACTGGAACAAGTGCTAAACACAGACTGATGTAACATGCGCACAATACGGAGCTTCCCCTCTCCTCGCCACTCGTTATGCGAAACGCCGCTCGTTAAGCAAGTCATTTTTTTACAATTTGTTTTGCTCGTTATGCGAATTACTCGTTATGAGAGGTGCTCTTTAAGCGAGGTTCTACTGTACCAGCAATAGAGAGACAGTTGGAATCAGACCATGTCTGCATTATACTGACAAAGAATGAAATGGTTCGGCCATCTAGTGAGAATGCAGCCAGGCCAAACTGCATATAAGACTTTTTACAGCAGAACATTCAGGAGGAAGGCGAGAGGAAGACCAAGAAAGAGATGGATAAATGGTGTAGCCAAAACATGCCCAAAAGATGAACAAATCCATCACTCAAGCCATCTGGGAAGCGCAAGACAAATACAGAAAACCACAACACAGGGCTACAACTTGGTATCAGTGAGACGACAAAACCATGACACTGGGCTACAACCTGGTATCAGTGAGACAAAAAAATACAGAAGAACGGTTGCAGTGGGCCAAAAAAGTTCTGGAAACACTGCAATTTGTGTTAACATAAAATATTTACAATAAAGGTTACCAGACAAAACATATATTAAAATTACAAGATAACATATGTGCTAACAGAAAATATTCACAATATAGGATACATTATGTGCTAACAGAAAATATTCACAATATAGGATACATTATGTGCTAACAGAAAATATTCACACTACAGGATACCATAGGTGTTAACATACAATACTCACAATACAAGATACTAAATACAATGATGACGCAATACATATTTAAATTATAGGACAAAATTTGTGTTTAACCAAACAGCATTTGCTGGGTGATGTGGTCAGCATCACCCCGGCCACCTTTACTTCCCAGGACTGTACCTGGTACCCAATCAAGGCTGGGTCCCCTGGGAGTCAAGGTCATTTTTGAACAAAATCCGACCCCTTGTCAGGAACCGAACCCACGGCCTTCCGATCTGCAGGCGAGTGTCTAGCCGCTAGACCGTGGCAGCTCCCACATGAGCATAATATATGTTCAGATATTACCTTGGTCTTCCTCGGGGCACATCTGACTGCAAGGGATGGTGTGTTCATTACTGGCAAGTCTTGAGGAATGGGTCTCAAATCCGCAACATTAACCTCCTCTTTGTTGCCATAATCAATGAAATAGACCTTCACCTAAAGAGGTCAGAAGTTCAACTTTTTACACATCAAAACACCATCAATGAATCCAGAAATGAATAAATCAAATGTAAACTTTAGTAAAAGAACCCTTTTCTATGCTTTCAGACATACTGGGTATATAGGGCTAGATTTATATGTTATAGACCAGTCTGCACTCGGTGGGTGATGCAGTCAACATAACGCTGGCAACTTTTACTTCCCAAGACCTTATCTTTACCCATTTAAAACTTGGGCAACCTGGGAGCGGAAGTAATTTTTAAAAAAAACAAAAAAAAACTCTGGGTTGTAGTTTTTTTTAAAACTGACTTTACTGCCTATTGTAGCACTTTTTAGGGGCAGTGTAAAACAGAGGGTCAAGAGCCCAAGAATTTAGGGTCACATGGCTGGTGCAGCGCCATGAACTGTGTTGGTTAGAATGTTTACTTCTGCCTCCAACAGAAACAAATTCAATCACCTTACTGAGGACTCAATCTCTGGTCTCCTTTATGAGAACCATTGTTCTAACCGCTCGCCCAGCTACTCCCCAGACTTTACATTCATGAGTATTTTAAAGTGAATAGTTAGTTCATCTTATGACTGTGATCTGAATTCTTTCTAGAATATCATAAAGTGAATAGTTCATGTTATATGTAATCTGAATGCTCTCTAGAGTCCCTAATCAAGTCTTACTAACCATAACTAAACTTTAAGCTTCAGTAATCTTAAGAGTAATCTTCTTCAATATTAAAAGCCTCACCAGCCGGTGTGGCAACCACTGCTTCTTCACAACCGTTAGAAATTCTGACTTGGGCTGGAAATGACTGATTTAAATTTGAGGAGTTCAAAACACAAACCGCCCAGTCCCAACTCTTGTCCCTTTTAGAGTGTGTCCCTTCTAGAATGTGCCCCTTCTAGAGTGTGGTTACAAGTAGTTGTCAAAATGTGTGTTGCATGTAAAGAAAACTTATAACAAATATTGGAAAGAGTCATAACATTTTGGTCATGTTAACAGAAGAAGGAAACTAGAATGTGTTGTGATCACTGGAAAGATCTGTAGAGGAAGGCAACACGAGAAGAAATCAGATGTATTCAGCTTTTAAGGACAAATACCCTTTTTTCAATATTACTATGGAAGCCTGTTCATGTCCAACTGTGTTCATACTGACTGTTACATCAAACTCATCTGACAAAGATTAAGAGCTCTCAACAGCATTTATCTTTCTCTTTCATCACTTCCTATTTTACCGCTTTAGGTTTCCAGGGAGATATAATGTTCTGCTTCTAACTTGACCGCAGACACATCGTGCTGTAGCTGAGTATCATTGATGTTATCGTTCCATTGTGTTCTTGGTCTACCCTGTAATCTGCATCCTTCTCCTCTTTTATTGTATGTCATGTATGGTAGCTGCGGGCCATGCGCCTTGCGTTGGTTTTGACAGTGGTATTAAGAAAGCCAACCGTCCAGAAAGAAATGGCAAACTACTGGACGTAAATTTGCCTAGAAAAACCACCCAACAGCCAGGGGCTGTTGGGGTTGTTTCTGCAACATCCTGTAAAGGATACACAACTAACCTAAACCTTGTATGGTATGGCATCACTAGGCATTCTCATTAAGTTGGCACACCACTTGATTTGCTGTCAGTGCATGTAATTTAGAATTGGTTCTGTGCTGACTTTTTCTCTTATGACCTTATTTCTGATTTTATCTCTTCTGGTCACGCCTGCGGCCCTTCTCAGAAACCTCATTTCCTTGGTTACTAATTTTTTTTAATGGTTTGTTGTGAATGACCATGCCTGGCACTAGTAACGTAGAGTCTTAGTCGATGTTTCAAAATCATCGCAATCAGGTTTCCCCATACTTGCCCCATTCCTGCACCAGTGACAATCAAATGACATGTCCCTCACTTTCTCATTTGAAAAACTGGTGAAAATTTGTCTGCGAACAATCTAGAAATCTGCGTGCGCAGTAAATGCATATGTCAGTTTCTAGAGGCACCAAAACCAACAGCTGCCACCAGAAATTTAATTTGTCATTGATGGGAGTAGTCTGGCATGATAAATTGGCTATACAAACGTAGAATTATTACATAAGGTATTTCACCAGCTCACACGTAAACCGGCTAGGGGCCATATTGAATACCAAGACTCAGCCATTGCACTAATGAAAGGCATAAGCACAGAGTGCTTCAAAGCTTCAACATTTATGAATTTGCTTCACATATGACTTCGGGGGGAAAGGGAGGGGGCTGCGTGGTCTCGAGGCATGGTGTCCGCCTCGAGTGTTAGATGTTCCAGGTTTAATAATCCCCGGTAAGGGCTGCGATTTGTTTCATCTGGACTTGGACTTCTATAAATTCCCCCTGGACTCTGGGTAGTGAGCTTCGACACCCATGTGAATTGTTGCGAACGTAAAGTAGGGCTAGGATTTTTTTTCGGGTTCCCACTGGTCTCTGGGTAGTGACATCGGCCGCCTGTGTGCATGGTTGAGCACGTAAAAATTCCCTTGGAAGTTGAAAATCAAAAATAGTAGCCTAACGGCGCTGACCGGGCAAAATTTGGAGTTAAAAATCTACCCAAAGTATTTCAGGATCCTCGCCGGTGCTACAGAGCCTGTGCACTGTGCTGAGCTTCTTCGGACTCAGACTTGAGTTACAAGAAGAACGGAGCACTTATGGATTACTACCCATGGGCCATGATGTTGATCTGTTGTTCAAAACCTCAAACATATGACTTGAAACTCACCGCTGATTTTTCAACTGCTAACACCTGGGCTCGGTACCAGCTATTCTGGTAGCTGGCAGCAACTAATGAGTTCAAGGCTATTGTCTCCACTGCTGGCGGTGAGGAGTTCTATAATCAGATGTAAACAAACAGAGGCTCAGTATGGAGCTATATAGTTCAACATCTGAAAATATTACATGTAAAAACACTTTTTTACAGTAAATACACATACAGTTGTACCTCAGAATTTAAAACTCCAACAACTTGGAGTCCCAACAAAAATGTAAGTAAATTTTGCATCAGAACTTGAACGCCGCCTTGGAAAACCGAACATGCCAATCAAGTGACTGAGCTGACAATTCAAGAGCTTTAGCACAGTCACCAGCAGCAGAAGAAAGAGATTGCAGAAGAAATTTCTCCTGGGAAGGAAAAGAGGGAAGCTGGAAGGATAAGCACTGTGAAATCCAAGATATTTTACCATGTGGCTGAAAACACAAGAAGTCGTTGAGAGATGGCCCCCTGATAAAGCTCTAGTTAACAAGTCTGTTAACTTACTGACTGATAACACTATCGAACATTTTAGAAAAATAAAAATGGTCCCCAACACCAGAGCCCTTTTGAATGCTGGTTGTCAACACAAATACGTGATCCTAAAGCCTCGACACGTGGTGAACGACCATGATATGAAACACCAGAAAGGACTTCTGATGTTACCATGGAAGGTGACCCACCTTTCAAACAACAATCTCTCCACCCCCCCCCCCCCCCCCCCCCTATATGCACTAATTCACGATTTTGATCAAGGTACAGTAAATGCAATGTTTTTGTATTATTTTTATTTGTATATGTCATCAACATGTATTACTATATTTACAGTGTATTGTATTTGAGAAAATAAATCTTAAAATTTTATTTGCTGGACCCTGGAACAGGTAAATTTAGTTTCTAGTATTTTCAATGGCAAAAAATGACTTGGAACTTGAACAATTTTGGAAAGAACGCCATCTCTGAACAAATTATGTTCAAGTTCCGAGATACTGTACTTGATTTAGGAAAAATTTTCATGATAAAATAGACATTCATGATATATTATCTTCTAAGTTCTGGTATACAAGCATGTCGTAAAAGAAGACTAATTATGAGTGTTTTCCCCTTGAAAGTCAGGGTGCATGTTCCTGAGAGATTACAAACCAATAAGCCATAAGGCAGATAAAAAAGCCACACATCTGTAAAATGGACCCGCATGCAAAACTCAAGTTTCTAAACAAGATGTGGACTAACAACCAGAACTTTCCGCCAAAGTATACATCTGGTGAACGATAAGAACAATAAAAAAAAAAGAAGAATAAATCAAAATAGTGTGTCTTTCACGTAAAACTTTCTTGCATTTCAAAATAAATGAAAACACATTTTGTGTATTTTGTTTGTTCAAACACATAAGACACACAATTCTAGACTAGCAGAAAATGCACCTGTGGGAATCTTACCGGACAATTCTTATTGAGCACATCATCGATTTCATAAACCAGATTTTCCATATCTGCTCTCTGCAGGTAAATGTCCTCAGCCGAATAGGCAAAGCTAAAGAACATCTGTAACTTAGACCTGAAATGTCCAGCAACAATAACACGATTAACAACATGTTTAGCATATAACTGAGATCAAGATCGAATTGAATCTGGAGATGTGGATACACATAATAAGTAGTATTTCGTGGAAACAATGAGGATTTGAAGTGACCAGGAATAAAAAAAAAAGGGGTTGTTTAAAGTAATTTAAGAAATTATAAGTGAAACATTTCCATCATTTTAAAAAACATAACACTCTTATAAATCTCACAATCTGACAGAAAAGTAGAAGGCTAGCAAGCAAAAGTCAGACAGCAATAAAGGTGGCAGGACAACGTCAAGAGATGGATGAACAGCTGTCTGAGAGAGTGTACAATCAGGAGGAGCAACAGAGCATGTTGAAGATCTACTGCAGCCAACCCTTACCGTGTGTACAGCAAGCATTTGACATACAACCTGAAGCACAAAAAAACATTCCACAACTCATGACAATGCTGATTCTTCCATCTCCCATAATCTTAGAGACTGTTCCAACATATTTCCATCATTTATTAGTTTCAGCCAGGGTTTTTACTGACCATTTCCTCTATCTTATCTGTCTTTGTACATTTCTATTTAAAACTTGTAATGAAGCTTGGCTATTTTAAAACTGGTGGAATCCATGACTGTTTGTAATGACCACAAACAATTAAATTATCGGGACAATCTTTTTCAGCTGGATGGGGGTAAGAAAAAAACATGATAAAAAGATGAAGCTAACAAGAAAAGAAAGGAATATTTGAGAGAGAAAATACAAATGCAAGAGAGAAGAGGGATGATAGAGGAAGAAAAAGATGAGGGCAATAGGTGAGAAGAGGGATAGGTGATAGAGAGACAGAAAAGAAACAAAGGCAATAAGAGAGTAAAGGGAAGGCAAGTGACAGACAACAAGAGAAAAGGTATTGATGACAAAGAGTCAGAAACAAAGACAAGAGAGATGAGGGAAAGATGACAATGGAAATGAGTCACAGGGATACAGGGAAATATAAACAAACACCTGTATGTACATGATATGATAAATAAGATTATGAACGATACACAGAAGAAACATATGGATTTGGGAGGGGAAAAATGTATACAAGAAACATACAAAAGCAGACAAGAAAACACAAAGACATAAAATAAACAGAGAAGAAAAATACAAACAGAAAAGAAGCATGCAAATACACAGAAGAAACACACTGATGGACAAGAAACACACAAAGACAGTCACAAAACACACAAAGACAGTCATGAAACTACAACAGAGAAGAAATTTACAAAAGCAGAATCACAAAAGTAAGAAACACATAAAGACAACTGAGAAACATACAAAGACAGATCAGAAATACACAAATAGACATGAAAGACACAAAGGCAGACAAAAAACCCATACAAACAAACAAGAAACAGACAGACAGAGAAGAGACTTATCAAAGAAGACACAAATCACACAGACAAGGAACAAACAAAGACAGACACAAAGAGAGACACTGATAAGAAACACACAAAGACACACACAGTCCACAAACCCAACAGCAGGTTGTAACGCTGCAGGCACCAGGACCTGAGGTGGTATTTTCTCGGTGGTTTCAGGAATGTCCCTGGCCACTGGGTAAATGGTGCATCTGTTGCCTGCACTGAAAGCAAACAACAAGAGATATTTCATTCAAATGCAAACACACTCAAGGGCTACAATTGGTGCCTGTGAGTTACCAGGACCCATATAGGAAGTAAAGAATACAAACACTATAAGCTACCAAGCATGCCATAAGAGGCAAATAAGGAAAGACCTGGCGGTCTTATCCTGTAGAGAACTTCAGCTCCACAGCTGAAACAACCATGGACACGTCTACAAGTGGCTTGTCATGGTTTGGATGACAGCCTCAGTTCCAATTCTTCTTCTTCTTCTTCTGCCTTTTTATCCCCCAATGGAGCATAGGCCCTCAACCAACTCACGCCAAGTCGTTCTATCCTTCGCCATTACATAGAGCTCTCCCCATGTCCTCCCAATCTTTCTAACCTCATTCTCCAGCTCTCTTCTCCATGTGTTTTTTGGCCTTCCTTTATTCCTATGCCCCTGTGGGTTCCAATGCAAAGACATTCCAGTTATGCTGTTCTCCTGTTTTCTCAGTGTGTGCCCTATCCAACGCCAGCGTCTTTTCCTCACCTCCTGATCCACTGGAGGCTGTTTAGTTCTCTCCCAAAGTTCTACATTAGTTATTCTATCATACCATTTTATTCCCTCTATTCTGCGCAGGCACCAGTTAATGAATGTCTGTAATTTATTAGTAATTGCCTTCGTTGTTCTCTATGTTTCCGCCCCATACAATAGTACTGATTTGACATTAGAATTAAAAATTTTTAGTTTAGTATTTCTTTTAATTTCTTTTGACCTCCACAAATTCCCTAGTGCTATTTAAGCCCCTCTTGCCTTTTGTATTCTTATTTTAATATCTCTATCAGTTCCTCCATCTTTATCTACATTACCAATGGGATATGAAAAAGACGAGGAAGAGGAGAAGCAACAGTAGGAGGGGGAAAAAAAGATAAAAATTAAGATAACGGAAATGAAAAAGGTATGACAGGCAAAACAAATCATGATAGGAAATTACAAAAAGAACAAGGTAAAGAAAGAAAGAAAGAAAGAAAGAAAGAAAGAAAGAAAGAAAGAAAGAAAGAAAGAAAGAAAGAAAGAAAGAAAGAAAGAAAGAAAGACAAAAATAAATTAAAAGACAAAATTGAAAGAAAGAAGAATTATAATAACAAATAAAGAAAGAAAATTGCAAAGAGAAGAGAAATAAAATGAACATAGCAGGAAAGAAAGAAAGAAAGAAAGAAAGAAAAAGAAAGAAAGAAAGAAATAAAGAAAGAAATAAAGAAAGAAAGAAAGAAAGAAAGAAAGAAAGAAAGAAAGAAAGAAAGAAAGAAAGAAAGAAAGAAAGAAAGAAAGAAAGAAAGAAAGAAAGAAAGAAAGAAAGAAAGAAAGAAAGAAAGAAAGAAAGAAAGAAAGAAAGAAAGAAAGAAAGAAAGAAAGAAAGAAAGAAATATTAAGCACTGAAAGAACTTACAACTGTTCTAACGTAAAATACTGTGGCCACTGACTGGCTACAGACAGAATGTCCAGGGTCAAGGTTTCCCCATAAGTAGTTTCATACAACTGTGGTAGCCTTGACAACCATATTCCATTTGGCTTCAGAATCTGAGGAGATAACAAGAGCAAGCATAACAGTAAAGGATTATGAGCACACCTGTACAGGATAGGCATAAAAGAATCTGCTGCCTGTGATTGTGGAGCAGAAAGACAGACCCCTGGGCACATACTACAGCACTGCCCTAACCTCTCCCAGCAAAGACTGTGGATCTGGCCCAAGGGAGCCACATTGAAAGAGAAGCTATGGGGGACCAGTGGCGACCTTAAATGCACAATCCTATTTGTGACCCAGACAGGACTCAATGTTTAGCATGACTGATGTCGAAAGCAGAAGAAGAAGAAGAAGTAAAGGATTAAAACCAGATGAGATGAGGGCCAGAAACGTCACCACAAATACAGCGGACAGGGCAGAGAGCAGCCATGTTTTCTGACCTAGCTGAAAGTGGTCAACGTTAATGAAGAAGAAGAAGGAAAGGATTCTTCTCCACGCCTTCAGGCGTATTGGGCATATAGGGTTAGGCCTATATTTTAAAAACCAATCAGCACTTGGTGGGTGATGTGTACTGCATCACGTCAGCAGCCTTTACTTCACAAGGCTGGATCAACCTAGGAGTCAAGGTCATTTTTAAAAAAAGGCTGCCTCCGTTAGGACCCGAACGCTTGACCTTCCATCTAGCCGCTTCACCACAATGACTTCCAGCAAGATAATAGTGGTTAAAATATACATGGGCGTAATAAATATTTATTGGAAACAAGTCTGCCAACATTTTTATTTCGCTAAAAGATTGTAAATAGCATGCTAACCCTGCTGCTCAGACAAGACTAAATCTAGTTACTTTCCCGCTGTGACACAGTCCCATACATGCTGATGTATTAGCTTGTCAGCAGTGCCTGTCCCTAAAAATGTATGTTACATTCCATTGGTTCTAAATGCATCTGTGCACTGTTTGAAAGGCCAGGATATGAATTTGATAACTAAAAACAGAGCAATTATGGGTGTCTCCTTATGACTGCAATAGCTTTTCTTTAAAGCCTTTTTGGTGCCAAATTGTTTTGTAAGCCTCAGTGATAGAGGTCATGGTGTCATGGCATAAGTCACATGAAAAATTTGTTGGTTTTTTTAGGCCCCCAGAGAATGTGTTCCATTTAATGCTTCAACCTGTTCATGTTTATTGACTACATGTTTTATATTTTTTTAATACTTTTTTGGAAAAATTTAAAATGTACCCACAAAAAAAAATGTATTCCTGACATGATAAAAACGGTTATTATTTAGGGATTTTTTTATAGGTTCATGAAAGGGTTAATTCTTTGCTGTCAGTACCTAACTTGAAAACTTTCAACTCCTGCCTATTTTCCCGAGCACTATGTATTAAATTACTTTTTTGTCTTCGTAACAGAATCGGCACAGCCAAAAAGCTTTTTTTAAAAAGCTGATGTCAAATTTAAACATAATACCATGAATGTTCATGTTAACGGTACTTCGATCAAATAAGTATGAGAATTCATTTATCTAGGAAGCATAATTACAGAGAATGCCCCTCGATAGAGAGAGGGAAGCCACAGTAAAGAAGGCAAATGCTGTCAACTACCAGTCAACCCCACTGCTTAGATACCCAAGTGTCTCCCCTCCAGCAAAACAGCTAATGATCAATAGCATCTGTATCCCTACTTTATGTTATCAGTGCCAAATACGGACAATGGATAGAGCACTAGAACAGAAAATAACTACATGTGAAGTGTGCTGTCTCTGCAAGGTCACAAAAACACAAATACAGACAGGGTTTCGAATACTAACATTAGAGAGAAAACTGGAATAAGACCATGTCTGAATTTTATTGACAAAGAAAGAAATGGTTCAACCA